TTAGACGCCGGTTATCCTCCGTGGCCGGAGAAAAAACATCTTTTTTTGGATACAGGGCCGGGGTAGACCGAGCACACTTAACCAGACACCAAACGGCCACACGGATAGAAGAGGTGCTGACGAGTGGTGGTTTCCACGGCATAAAAGGACATTCATTCAGAGTCGGTGGAGCATCTCTCAGATCCACCTTAGGAATGACGCAAGGCGACCTCTGCGCTCTAGGGCGGTGGCGCTTGGACTCTTTCAAATTGTACATCAGACCATACTTGACGGGTGATTTGAAGAAGACGAAAATTCTTCTTCAACAGTTTAAACAAAACTGGTTGAGGATGGCTTAGGGTATCTTAGTTTTCACCTTATTTTTAGCTGGGTTTGAGCGTATGCATATGGAAGGGGCGATTGGGGGATTCTCTCTCACAGATCAGGCACCCCTTGCTTGCGTCCCCGACTGTGGGCTTTGTGTTCAAGCATTTGCATTTTGTGAACTTGTGAAATAAACCACACTTTCCACATGCCTTACCCGGCCAGAGGGGGAGAAGTCAGGGAGCCCTTAAGCCCTCTCCTCCCCTCTCTTTTTCCCAGACCCGCGCGCTGTAGATCTCCATACAAGAGGTATGGTAGTCTACAGTACGCAGGTGTCGGGAAGGCGGGTGAAAAGTGGATTAGTAGATTGATACGTGATCTAAGTCTGATAGAGATTACTTTACAAAAGTCAGATCTATCTTGGAATCAGCCGCATATTATTAAATATTGATTACAAGACTCTTAGTTATCTGTTTAGTACAATTAGAGGGGCAGGTCTTTCAAACCACCTGTAAGTTGTAATAGCCTTTCAACCTATTTGCAATTTATTCCCCCCTCAAGGGATCTTTTTGATATACATATACTTTACCGTGTCTATCTGTCCCAGGAGTCCTACACCGCACGGACATCCAGATTTGAAGCGACCATCTCTAGTTTTTTTTACAATTGGATTTCAATTCTTTGTTTTATATACAAACAAATTCATTTTATTTTTACCTATTACAGAGCATAAAAAAGCGAGATAGCAGAAATCAAGAGGTAGAAAAATGTAAACAAGCAAGAAAGAGAAACAAGAAAAGGAATGATGAGATCATTGAGTGTGGTGGATGATATGTAGCTTGGACAGCCACTCACAGTGCCAGTCCACAATTGGAGCTGAACTGCGACGACCCCTGTGAGATGTGGTCGCAGGCCAGGGAACACAAGTCAACTGTCCCCCGGACTGCTAGAGATGGTCTAACACTACACAAAAAAGCCACTGTTAGTGCCACTAAAAATTAGTGTAGCATAGTGCCAGTAACAGTGCATTAACACTACACAAAAAAGGGGCCACTGTTAGCACCACACTATGCTCAGTAGTGTAGCATAGCAGCCCACCATTGCTCTACCCCCTCAACCCAAAAAGAAAAGAAGCAAGGTTCTTCTAGTAACCACACAACTCAATCATTCAAATAAAAAAAATGAATGAATGGGATGATGAGATGAGATGTTAAGGCTCAAAAGAACCCATCACATCTATTGTTTTTTCTTCAAATAAGAACAAAAAAGGAAGGAAGGAAGGAAGGAAGGGAGGAAGGGAGGAAGGGAGGAAGGAAGGGAGCAGCTGGAGGTGACCCGGAGAGCAACATAGATAAAATACACAAGGTTTGTAGAATTGAGAGCAGAAAAAAACATTTCAATTTTTTTTTTGATTCTGTTTTTCTTTTTGGATTGATTGATTGTTTTATTTTTTTGGTAAGTTATATATATGTATGTATAAGAACAACATGAAAAAGTGGGAGAAAGTATGTAAGGGTGTAGACGACAAAGGAAGCAGAAGATCAAGGAAGACTGGGCACCTGACAGGGGAAAAAAAAAGAGGAGAAGAAAGAAGGGAGCTGATCGAGAACAAATGAAGCCAACGAAGCCAAAACCAAAAAAAGATGCTCTATATGTATATATATATACACTTTGAAGAGAGAGAGGAAGGAAGGAAGAAGAATATTGCAGATGCTGAGAGAAGCTTGATAAAACAAAACATAAAAGAGAGAGAGGGGAAATGCAAGTCAACAGTAGTCCCGAGAGGATTGATTGTCCATCACCAAAAAGTTTGAAAGAAAGTGTCAGTTTTTTTTTTTTTTTTTTGATGTCGAGTGAACTGTATAACGTGATTAGAGAATGGTTGATGTCCTCAAAGCTTCATCTTGATTTCGCCGCCTTTGGCGTCATGTTCCTCGTAGAGCTTTTGGCAGACATCGGCGTACTTAGTCTTCGCGACCGGCCTTGAAAAAAAAACAAAAAAAGTCCCGCCACCACCAATCAAACCAGCCCAAAATTCGAGTAAGCACAAAAGATCAAGTAGATCAAACACAGTTATAAAAAAGAAAAAAGTCGAAATCGAGTTGCGTACCTTTTCAACTTGAAAGTTGGCGTCAAGAGCTCGTTTTCCACCGAGAATGGTTCCATCGTCAAATGGATATTCTTGATGCGTTCGAAGCCCAAGAGCTTGGCACTGGCTGCGGTTTTTTCCATCTCTTTCAAGACGGCTTGTCTGACTTCGAAGGATGAACACGCCTCTTCAGGTGGCAAGACCCGTCCGATCACTTTGTTTGCCAGCTCTGTTTACAACACACACAAAAAAAAAAAAAAAAGATCGGAGTGACTTTAAGTAGAAGGCTCCTCTTGATGAGAGACAGGAAAAAAAAAAAAATACTATACCTTGGAAGACAGGCGGTTCGGGGACGATGACGGCAACCAAGTAGGACTTGAGAGAGTCGCCGTGGAGGTAGATCTGGCTGATCAGAGGACTGACCGAGTAGGCCCCCTCGACCTTCTCCAGAGCCACGTATTCGCCCTGGGCCAGCTTGACCAAGTTCTTGATCCGGTCGATGATCTTGAATCGACCCTTTTCATCGATCAGCCCGATATCTCCGGAATGTTGCCATCCTTCAGAATCGATCAACTCCTTGGTCTTCGCCTCATCCTTGTACTAAATCAAAGACCAGCCACTCTTCAGCATCTTCTCTTCCTCTCTCATCCGGCTCATACTTTCTACTCACGTAGGCAGGAATGCAAGCTTCTCCTCGCACACAGATTTCACCTCGAGGGAAAGGTTTATCGGTCGAGAAATACTGAAGTCATCAAGACCCAATGTGGAATTCATTAGCGGCGCAATTCTTGACATTCGCGCGGGGCATAGCAAGGACAGACCTACTTTCATGTCTGGTACATCTACCAATTTGATTTCCTGTCCGGCTTGTGGGGGACCAACAGTCCCATTGGGTTCCATATCTTCACCAAAGCACTTTGTACATGTGCCTGAGTTTTCGGTCTGTGGGTACAAAGCCGGATTGCCAATAAACCAGATCAGGAGCTGCACAAGGAAGTTTGTAGTGAGAACCATGAAAATCCACTTACCGAGCCATATCCTTCGGCGACTTGAGTGATGAAAGCGACCTTGAGGAACGAGATCACATCTGGAGAAATCGGCGCCGAGCCAGACCCAATGATCCGGACTCTGCCACCGAGGGCCTGCTTGACCTTGTTGAATACCAAACGGTCCCATAAGAAATGAGTGTTGCTGCCGGTAGTCTTCAAGTTCTGGAGTTTGGTCTGTAACGCTTTTCGGCCTAAGCTGCCTTTGAACCCTGGCCCATCGAGTTGTGCTAATACGGCCTGGTAGATTCGGTTCAGCACTCGGGGTACACTGAAAACAAATAACACATGAGAATTTCGATCAAGTTCTTGCTTATACTTAAGCCAAAGACAAAATAGCCATTAGGAATACCCACCTGAGAAAGATGGTAGGTTTTAGGATTTGGACATCTTCGAGCAATCTTAAGTTGTCACCGCAAGAATACCCGATCGGTGCCCCAATTGCTGTAATGCCAAGTGAAGAAAATAGTGATGTTTGATCAGTGCGAGCTTGTAGAGGTTCAGAAAAGAGCAGATGCTTTACTTACCTAATATAATAGCCTCAAAAAAGCGTTCAAAGATGTGGCTGAGCGGGAGGTAAGAAAGGAAAATATCTTCGGCGCCAGCCCAAGCTGAGCCATGCAGGTTACCCACGCATGCGGCAGTAATGGTGCGATGGAGTAATACAGCCCCTTTGGGCATGCCGGTCGTCCCAGATGTGTAGCAGATCGAGTTCACTGAGTCGGGACTAGGAGGGATGTGAGCGGTAGGATGTGCACGACCTAAAGCTTCAACTAAGGGGTGATCATACAGCTAATTCAGTAAACAGACTTTTCTTCTGATAGAAAACTGGGGGAGAAAGAGAGGTGAAAGTGAAACTCAAATCCACATACCTTCTTCAATGTCATATATACTGATGCCGAGCTGTTCACCCCAACTCTTGAGGGCGCGGCGTTGATCACCGGCGGAGACGGTTTTGGGCTCGACCGGTTGGAGATCTTGCCATCTATCGGCCGAGATGATGACCTTCAAAGACGGAGTGGCATGGGCGTTTCGTAGCAGGTCAGGAATGTGAGATGCGGATGAGAGGACCAGGCGAGTTTCGGAATGGTTGATACAGTATTCCACAACGGTCGGGCCGAGGGTCTCGTAGAGCGAGATGACTACGAGCGAGTAAGCTGCGCAGCATGTGACGCATTGCCATTCTGATTTTTTTTACAAGAATCCAGTAGAACTACATAGAGAGAGGAACGAGCAGTACAGATGGTAAGAAAGAAAGAGAGGGCTGACCAGGACGATTGTGAGTCCAAATCCCAACAGTCCATCCCGTGCGATCGGAAGTGCCCAGTTTACCCTCGGCTTGGAGGTGCATCATACCGCTCCCAAACTCGGTCCGTCTTCGATCGACATCCTTATAGCTCTGCCAGACGAAGAACGGTTCGAGCTCTCCGGTGACTGGGTTGATGGGTCGGTGGCCAAGACATGGCTTGTTGTAAGATCGTCCCAGTCCGAAATTGAATACCTCATCTTCATTTCCACAAATAAAGCAAAACAAGAACTCTGATCAGTGTTTGCTTGAAGACAAGACCAAAACGGGAGCAGTTTTGTTTTGTTGATCCATGGACTTACAATCGGTGCGGGGGAATTTTTTGTCAGGAGTCTCGACGGTGGTGAAGTTAGGGAATAGAGCATTGCGATAATGCCCAGTTTGGCCTGCTTTTCGAGTCCCGGGAATCTCCTGTGTTAAGAGGAAAAAGAAAGGAGGTTTGAATATATATCCCAATACGTCTCGACTGTGAGGGAGTAGGCACTTACGATCGATTGATGGTTGAGGTCGATGGGGGACTCGTTGGAGACTGGTAGTGTTTGAGTGGTGACAGCATAAGGAGGAAGGTCTGACATGATGGTGGAGTTGGATGGGATGTGGATGACTAAGGATCACTGGACTGGTGTGGGCTGGCTCGGAGGCTTAAGTGATTCCCTATTAAATATTCTTGAGGCGGCCTTCCTTCTAAAGAAGTAAAGCAAAGTAAAGTAAGTGATGTGGAGTGGTGGGTCGAGTGTACTAGGTAGGCTTGATAAGGCTCGATGATCGATCTGACTTCAAACCAAAAAAAAAGAAGAAAAAAAAAAGAAAAACCTACCAAAACGGATGGGGCGACTGTATTACGTAATAGAGATGACATACCCATTCCAAAACCCACTGACTTCCTATAGCGGCCCATCAAGTTCAACTCATCACCCACCTCTCGCGGGCGATCATCGGCCGGACTTGACTCGATCTCACATCGGCCGGCGACGGAGTACATAAGTAAATAAGTAGCTCGAATCGGATATCCAGATGACGGCAGTTTTTTTTCTTATCGGCCGAGACACCAAATAGTCACCGCGGTGTTGACAGCTCCGGATTGTGGTGGATCCGACGAACCACGGCCAATCGGTGAAACCTGACGAGATCGGCTCGGGAAGTGTTCCGTCAAGTGCAATCTTCCTTCTCACAGTGCACCGGAACGCATTCCCGGCACTCGGTCCAACGTCAGCTGACTGCTCACCTCGGGGCCGCCGAGTGGATGAGGCTCCTCCATGGAGCCCAGGGGTGTTTATCCGGATGGTAAGCGCCCATCCCCACGCCTCACCCAGGTGGATCCAAGCTTTTTTCACCTTGCACGGGGAAATCAGGGGAGGGTTCTAATTATTCTATTTGTCTTGCCATCTTATTATCATTATTATTACAAATTTCAGTGTTAGGGAGTTTTGGGATTGGAGGATCAGGAATAGAAATAGCTTCTAGTAGTCTAAGATAGTGTGTTGGAGATATCAATTAGGTTCTGAACCTGTAGAACAAGGAATCACAGAGCTCTGCAGAGAGTTCAAGCAGACCACCTGAGGACAACCCTAACCCTCCCTCACCCTGCATTATCAAGCAGAGAATAGGTTATGTTAGCCACCAAGCTGCCAAAAGATAGGTGGAGAATTTTTGTAGTTTCACAGGTCTGGTAGTTGACTGCTGTTTTCAAAGAACTGTCTCTGTCAGCTTGCCAGTCCTCATCATGTAATCCAGCCGTGGACAAATCTTCTGGGGCCTGAACCGGTTGCTTCTTCCTTTCTTGCTGTTTAGGTATCTGAGCCAGACTTTCCTTGTCCTTGTTATCAGTATCATCAATTATTGATTGCCTTCTTGTGGTTGGGTTTTTGGAGTAGTGTTGTTGTTTTGCTACTGCCTTTTTAGCCTTCTTTGCACAAGTCTTATCCAAACTGATTCAAGATTTTCTATGTAGTATTGCTACTTTGAGATGTCCCACTGTCCTTGCCTTCCACGACACCACAAATGGTGTCTGATCAAGGAGTCAGTGGTCCTGTGAGCTCTACTACTAGCCACCCCTCCCCAAAGGCCTGTAGGATTGGCTCCAGTCAGTCCTTAGCCATATCAGAGGGACAACCAGGAAAATCCTGAGTCTCACTATTATTCTTAACCTTCAGCACAACACCCAACCTCTTCAACTTGGGCTGGTTTGGCTTGATTTTGGATGGAGAAACATCAGTTCAGTATCCACACTACCTGTACTTCCACCAAGAATGTTAGCAAGGTTCATGTCACTTACAATACTTGTTCATACAGTTTAGATTCTGGTGTGTATGTGATCTCATTGATGTGGAACCACACAACCAGCCAAATTGGTGAAGTTTCCAATTATAAATCAGGTATGTAATGCATTCAGCCCCCCCCATACAGATAAAACAGAAAAAGGTGGGATATTACTAGGGGGTTGTTTGATCAAGCATTTTCAATCATGAGGTTACAGTGTGGCCATTAGTCATGCTGAGTCCAGGTCTGATATCCCAATGACCATGGGGTTCCAAGTAGATATTTGTAATTCAAAGAACACTCATTTCATAGGTATGGGGGACTTGCTCTAGGACATGTTGACAAAAGTGTGCTTGAGATTTTGCTTTTCAAAACACACTTGAAAATCAAAAGTCTCAAGTAAAAGCTAAGTCGATTTTGGATATGTATTGCATAAGTGATTGATTTCATGATCAGTGTTTTGATTTAATTTTCTAAACTTCATTTGAATTTGGCTTTAGAAGTCCTACTCCTGTTCCAGTTGATCACCAAAACAGGTGTCAGTGGCATGTATGAGATTAGTACAAGCAAGGATGAATTGATTTTTGAACTCGAGGAACCATGTCTTGAAATGTTGTTCGGAGGCAGGACGACGATCAGTTGTTGGAGTTTGGGATGCCGGAATGAGACAGAAGGATAAAGCGAGTAAAGCCTCTTCGAGTTCCGAGATCACCCCTTCGCTGACGTTCCTAAGAGAGTTGATCTTCCTCGAAATGTCTTTATCGGACTCGTAAATGACGCATAAGTGTCCAGACATATAATCGATACTCGCGTAGAATGATTCGAGTTTTTTTACTAGCGATTCCAGTTCATTCGAGCTCATCTCTGTATCCATCGTGAATGGGAGTGGATGGAGGCAGGTCCTAGATAGCTTGTCAAAAAATATTCTTCCCAATTTGACGATCGGTATTCCTGTTTTAGCCAGTTGAATAGCCCGAGCTTTGTGTGCCTCAACCTTCTTCGGATCGCTAGCCGCTTCGGCCGACATCCGATTCCCATCTTTCCTCCAATAAGTTCCATTGACAATCTCCCCCAGGGCTTCGAGCATCCGGTTACATTTCCGAGTCGAACTTCGCCACTCCCTCTGAAGGACAGCAAAGTCAGATAGATTAGACCACTCGATTATCCCATCGATAACTATTCTGATTTTGGCCCAAGTTGTGTTGATACGTTGTTTACATTTGACAGGGTTGAATAGATAATCTATAATATCGGACCCATGGAATTCGCTCTGAGATGACTCGCCTGGTTTGGGATTTTGATGATGCTCGAGATTGATGAGTAATCCTTCAATAGCTTGAAATATTTCGCACACGTCGTCTTGGATAACTGCCTTGGTTTTCCATAGTAGTGGAGAAGTCCTGTGACGTTTGAGAAATTTTAGATGTCGGTCATGGCTTGCGGCTTGTAGAGGTGGTTCGAGAGCGAGCTCTTCAACAGCAGATCTAGTGTCATGGAGTGTCGCCGAAAGTTCTGACAAGATTTTCGCGACCGATTCTGGGTTGGGGCATGGATTGATTGCCGATTCGGAAAGGTCGAGTGAGTCCAGGAGAGCTCCGACTTGCTGCTTGAGTGAAGGTAAAAAGCTGGTCTGCAATGTCTTGAAGATTTCCACCTTATCCTGCAGGTCATCGAGTGTCAGATCTTCTTGGGAACTACAGCAGATTTGATTCAATGAGAAGTGGTAGTTTCGGAGTAGCTTGCGGAGTGCCTTGAGCACTACACCTGGATGATAGAATTCGCAGGCTATTGCTTAGATTTCATTCTTGTCCTTCTTTCCACAAAATATCAAAATAAATAAATAAGTACCATGTGGGCCGCTCGGTGTCGTCGCTCCTGAGCTTGAGCTAGCTTCCGATCCCGATTCCGAGTGTTCCTCCATCGCATCATTATCTTTGGTTTCTTCAACCTTCTGATCGTCGTCCAGCCTGTCTTTATCCTCTGTTCCTTCTTCCACGGTGACACTTTCAACTGGATCCGCCATGTCGGACGTGAAGAACTCGAAGCTGGTTTCCCAACGCGAACTTGTCGCCAGTCTCGCTTGAAGTCGCTTCGGATCGCCTGGTGGCCTGGGCCGGCGTGAAGCGCCGCAGCCTCCGAAGGCGGGACTTGCGCCCACATGTCGGCGTGTCGCTCCCGGGCAGTTTTGGTGTAACAGACAATGCGCTGGATGTACATATTGTGTTTTTACAATACCTTGGACTGAATCGTTTTTTATTTTTCAAGTTAGTGTGCAATTATGCACTTCCCAGGCCTAGCCGATGGCAGTTTTGTTCGGATTTCTGCCTCTTTTTTTTTGGTTCCCACTACCCTAATAATCACCTCATGCTCACCCTAATCTTATACGATGAAAATCCAACATGACATAGACTTAGATGCATGAACAAGCTCTTTATGTATGACCTCATGCACCCACCTGACCGATATAACCTCATGCACCCACCGGTCCAATATACCCCCTATCGACCTTTTCCCCCTCCTTGTCCTCCCAAGAACCAACACCCCACCAAGCAACCAACCCACACCGGCTCCATCAACCAACTGGCTCCAGCTCCACCAAGCGACTCACACCAACTCCATTCTTGTAAGGTAAAGTATAATATCTTACTCTAACATTCTTCCGTGGTCTCCGCGGTCTTTTTTGGCTTAGGTAGTCTAATATTTTTTCCCCGCGTAGATGGGATTTGTTATGTACCACCCAGCAACCAAGGTTGCCGCGGTTCGGATGCTAATTCAAGGTCATGAACAGTCGTTCATCCGAACTGCGCTTGGGGAAACAATTTCACGACAATCGTTTGGCCGTTGGATGGATTTATATCAACAGACTCGCTGTGTGATACGAAACCCGGACGACTATGAGCAGCAAGGCCGTCCCTCCCTTCTTTCTGACAGTGACTCTAAGTTCATGATCCAACTCGTGAAAGACGAACCAGGCCTGTTTTTGGATGAGATCAGGGAGCGATTATACGACAAAAATGGTACCCTTCTCTGTGTGGAGACCATTCACCAAAACCTGGTTGTGAAGCTTTCCATCACTCTGAAGAAACCCGGTACTATCAATATCCGAAAATGTTTAATTAAGAAGTTTGATTATATCGAAAAAATGTGTTTTATTCCGGCGGAATTCTTAGTGTTCTCCGGTTAGTCCTCATTGCTCATTCACACATCTATGCTGGTTACTGATATTTCCGGGTTGTCTCTCCCTGATCTCAGACGAATGTGCCATTTGTGATCGTGATCTACTCAGGACCTTTGCCCGCGCTCCAAAGGGCACACCCTCGGCGCGATTCATTGTGAACCAAAACACCAATCGAATTAGTGTCCTACCTGCCATTGGAATAGGGGGGATCCTTGCGATGGCGATGACCGACAGCACCTTTGTTGGCAAGAAATGGGAGGACTTCCTTGAGTGGGACTTGGTAGGTCCAAACTTCTGCATTTGGGAACTACTGATTCACTAATGATTCTGTGCCGCTCGGTTTCTTGTTGTTACAGCTCCCCCGGATGAATCGTTACCCCAACCGTCATTCAATCCTTGTTTGCGACAACGCTCAGATTCACAAAGGGAGTAGGGTCGAAAGCATCTGCATTGAGGCGGGGATACTAATTAAGTATCTTCCTCCTTACTGTCCAGAGCTCAACCCCATTGAGCTCTGCTTCTCGGCATTTAAAAGCAAGCTCCGCCGATCGAGGATTTTAGATGAGAGTAATGATCCGGAGTGGGACATTTGTGAGACTATTGACTCAGTGATTACTCCAGAAGTCTGCTACAAGAATTTCCGTCACTGTGGTTACTCGGTGCCTCCTTCATAAGTTATGACCCTGTGGTTTTTGTTCCTACCCTCGCCTCCCGCTTTTTGTTCCTACCGACTTGAACTTCGCCTCCTGCTGTTTCTTCCTGCCTGCTTGAATCTCTCCTCCCAATCTTCTTCCTACCGAGTTGAAACTCTCCTCCTGCTATTCCTGTTTTTTTGTTACTTCCTGTCCTCTTGAATCAGTCAGTGCTCGCTTTTGGCTCCTACCGACTTGAAACTCGTGATCATAAATCTTGTCTCTTCCTGCCTGTGTCCATCAAATATATCATCCGATTCACCCACTCAAATTTTTTAGGCTTTCTGCTTTCATGTGAGACGGGCATGTAATGCCCGGACGCAATCCCTCGCCAATTCACCCATTGTGGGTTTAGCTTTGGGCATTGAACACCAATGCACTAACTTGGCCCACACAAAAACATGGGGCTGACTGCGAGAAGTCCCAGCTCTTTCTTCTGCTGACATTCTCGGGCTATCATCTAGCGCAGCAAGTTGATCGATCGATCTGGCATCTGGAGTCACAACGCCTCAACATGCTAAACTAACTGACTTGATGACCCAAGGCTATGAGCTGCAGTCGTGGGTTGAGTCGTGGACAGGCGCTCGAATAGGAGCATGCCGCCACCCATAGGGAGGCAAACGGTCAGCTTTGCCTGGCCTTATAGCTGGCGCTTCATCCAACAAAGGTCAATCGTCCTTCATTCCATCTCCCAAACACAACTGACAGACACTACCTAACCGCATTGGGATTACTGGGAGTTATTATAGATCTACCCTGACTTTTACTTATTGTGCTATGGATGTCATTCCAAGACCACCGGGGTTTATTCTTTGTCCTGAAACTCAACTGGATGAAGCAGTTCCCACAACCCCCCCCCCCAGCCACGTTGTACCAATCCACCAGGGGAGTTTGCTCAGCACCTGCTTTCAAGTGCCATCAGTGAACTCGGTCATAGATCTGGTTGGAAGCTTGTTACAACACATGTTGATATGTACCGCAGATATGTACCACAACCTGGTTACAAGACATGTTGATGTGTACCACAACTTCTATTGGATATATCATGGAATACATGTGTAGAATGTACCCCAGACCTATGCTGAAACCAAGTTCAACTTGACAGCAAACAGTTCTTTATCCCAAGCTTTGACCAAGCTTGCAGTATCTTGACCGATATGATTTCCCACCTGGTTGTGAGGCACTATCTGGGTAAGATACTCTGAATTTTTTTTTTTCAAGAGCCCACTAGTTATGAGAAAGCTTGTGAGTTAAACCAGCCCTTGCCAATGCCTATATCATGTGATTGTCATGTACACACAACCTTCATAGTTAGTGGCTACCAGACCTCCTAACCTTTTGGTAATGTCTATATACTAAAGAGTATGATAATTGAAAGCCAAATGATGAACTCATTCCATTGGATTGATCTGTGGACCAAATGTAGCAGTTGGCCGATTGGCCAAACCAATCCAACAGGTGCTGGAGTTTGTTTACCGAACTTTCCAGCTTACATGACTATATCATGCAATGCCCTGCAGCAAATGTGAGTGAGTTAAAATAAGCACCAAAGGCTGTGTTTTGTGAGTTGTTGTAAAGGGTGTTTCCGAAAAACTTTCCAAATTCTAGATAAGAGAAAGGTAACAAATACAACCATCCCATCCTTATTCCAACCCCCACATCCTTCACAACCTCAAATCGGTCTACTGATTTTTCTATACAACATGTCAAACACACTATGCCTGGGTCAATTTGTCACACGTCTACATTCTCCTACCTCAGATTCCCTCCCTGATCACCCACAACAGGCCTTCCTACAACGAGGAACAGATCGAGTGCATGTGTGGTGTTACCCAAGACGATTGGTTGGAGATCTCAGTGAAGTTCAAAGCAAGTTCCTTGGTCCATTGTTAGGTCGGGTGGGCAGCTGCTCAACACCAATAACAGAAGAAGGAATGATCTCTTCTGAAAAATCCCTGATAAAGATTCGAGCTTTCCTTGTTACCAAAACCTGTAATGATCCTCAACTGAGGGGTTGCATATTTGGTCTTGACTCAAACAAGGCCACTATTTCATCAGCTTTCTCTCGGGCACAAATCAATCTCTCTCCCATCTGGAACTACAATCCCAGCCTCTTTTTCAATATCCCCCAAACATCGTTTACACCAACCCTCACCAGCACGCCAGAAGAGGATGATTCTTTTCGGTCTACTCTCAAAAACTGTGTAACCACCTTGAAAGACCACCAATACACAGCTCTAAATTTCCTCAAGAGAAATGAGTCTACCCAACAAAACACAATTGAAGACTTGTGGAACCACCCCATCAATAGTTGGATACGACGATGTAGTAACCCTTCTGAACTACGACTTGACGAAACAGACCAATTTACTAGCCGAGGATCCATACTTGCTGATGACATGGGCTTAGGAAAAACGTTAACCAGCCTTGCGTTAGTTCTGGCAACATCTCATTTGGCAAACCGATTCCAGATGAGCGGTTCCGACAACCATCTAGTTCGATCTTCAGCCACTCTGATTATTTGTCCGTTAGCAACCTTGTCAAACTGGGAAAATGAGATCAAGATTCACTTTGACGGGGGAGCCTTACCTTACTGTATCTTTCATGGAAGAGACCGAGGAAGAATTGACAGAGGATCACTATTGTCATCGCTTGTTGTTTTGACAACCTACGAGATGGTTGGAACATCTGGAAACCCACTGCATACCAATCAAATAACCATTGAATCCCTGGATATCTGTTGGTTCAGAATTGTATTGGATGAGGCTCAGTAAGTAACAATAACCTGGTGCATTTATTGAGTTATCAGTTAATAACAAGTCTGACATTACAAATCATGTAGTATGATTCGTAACCCAACAGCCAACAGGACTTTGAACATTCAAAAGCTGAAGTCAAGATTTATCTTATGCCTGACGGGAACCCCGTTCCAGAATCGACTCACCGATGTCCAAAGCTTGATATTTCTATTGAAGATTTGGCCTTGGAACCAGGAGTGGATCTGGAAGTCACACCTTATACCTGGAATTAACGTTGGATCCCAAGAAGCCATTCAGACGTTGAACCGCTTAATGGAAACTGTATGCTTGAGGAGGACGAAGGATGTGCTCTTGAATTTGCCTTCCAAGATAGAAAACGTGGTTGTTGTGAGCTTGGGTGGCCCATGGGATGATTTCTCAAGAGGGTTTCACCAATCATTCATTCAGTACTTTGGACGGCTTCGATCATCTGGCGAGCCATGGGATTCGACTGAATTTTTCAAACAGCTGACAATGATACGGCAGTTCTGCAATCATCCGATTTTTGCACGTGACGAAATTCCTCACCAAAAGAACTGGCGATGGCAAGACTCCGCAAAACTGGTCCATCTTGTGGATAACCTGGAGCGATTCTTGCGGGGTGGAAGGGGGATTTTAAGGCCCAAAGCAGTAGTATTCTCGAGCTTTGTGGCTTTTCTTGAGATGTGAGTGATATTCTTCATTGGAGATTTTGTCAAAGAGGCTAAATAAAGACTGATGAGGTATGGCATGATGAAGAATTGAAAAGGCACTCAAAGAGAAACAAATGGGTTGCACATGGCTTATGACCTTGGGTATAGCAAAACGAGATGAGAACCTGGCTAGATTTCGAACAGATCCCAACTGCAACATTCTTCTAGGCTCAATACAAGCGGCGGGGGTAGGAATTGATTTGAGGTGTGCACAAAATGTGTACATGATGGTAAGGAGGAATCATTTCTTCTGTGTAACTGAATATGCTGATAAGAATTTTGATGTTCAAGGAACCGAATTGGAATCCGGCCATGGAAAATCAAGCTGTAGATCGTCTCTATCGCCTTGGACAGACAAATGAGGTTCATGTCTACCGATACTATGTGCAAGGCAGTCTGGAAATGAATATACATCAGGTAAAAAGTAGGAAAGGGGAATTGGCAATGTAAGAATTCAATGGTCTCTCTGTATCCATACATGGAGTAGTTGACGTATTCTTTGGGACGTACTTGATTTTGAATTTCAGGCTGAGTGTACCATCGCATGGAAATGAGGATTATGAGTGTGCACAGCTTCTTATGAGTAACATGTTAAATTAGGGTGCAATAAGAAGATGATTTACTTACACGAAACTTTGGTCAAGGACAATAACTTCTGAAAATCTATTGGTGGCTTGGGATTTAGAAGTTTGACATCAAGCTCAGACAAGGTGGCTAGGTATTCTTCTGCATAGCAGTTTCTTGGGTAGATTGCGTGGAACATTGCGGAAAGATATTGCGACCGAGGATGTTGAGGTAGCTCGCTTATGTTCAAGGCTAAATGAATTGACAAAGTGTAGTCCTTTAGTATTGTGGGTTTTGTGGATCTTGATCTCGTCCAGTTGACGGGCCAGGGTGTTGAACTCTTCTGAACGCCAAGGGAGGGGAATTTGCCTGACTGTTTCGCCTGGGGTGGCTTCGGTCTCGGAGCAACACTTGATGTTATCAAAGAGTTCCATCTCGGTTAGGGATACAGACAGTTTTGAGAGGGTCTCCTGTCTATGCTTCTGCAGCTGAAAATCAGGATGATATTTTTCTTCAGTAATAGCCCAGATGAAGTTGACTGTTGAGAAAATTCTTACTTGTAATCGTAATTTGGATTTCTTTTCAGACTTCTTCTTTTCATTCCTACGTTCAGCAGAGAAATGTCCCAACCGAAGACCATCCTTCCGTCCCAGAAACCATCGGTGTAGAATACCAGTGCGTATGATCTCTTCAGAAGTTTCTGTAGGATCAAGGTGGAAAGCTTTGAATGCCCCAGCCTTGAAAGCGTGATTCCAGTGTTTGAGGACAAATTTCGAGAGCAGTTGATTCCACTTGCTTTCCCAGGCTTGGTCCCAGGCAAAGGTCCAACCAGGGAACTTTGAATTTTTGAGGTCTTGAAGAAATATTACTCGATAGAGTGGAGGAATTTTTTCCGAAACTGGTTTATGGGCTGTGGGGGGGATGGGATCGATTGGATGCAGTAGAATGGAGTCGGGCAGTGAGGAGGCGATATTCAGCTGGTCTTGTGAGGGAGTCTCCTTCCATTTGTCCGATGGTATTTTGAGATTGAGCTCTAACAAGGTCTGAGTTAAAGCATACATGCTACGGCAAAGAGGTGAAGTTGATTTGGGGAGGATGGTTGAATAGAGACTGTTCAGTTTCCGTCCTGCACTTGGGGGTTTGCCTTCATTTTGGAAGCAGGCTGCTTGGGAAGATGGTGGGACCATTTTCTGATAAGTTGAGAACAAGAAATTTGGCAAAGCTGGGTAATTCTAAATAGAGAGAGCAGGTGTTGAACACAAGAGAATTGTACTGGGATATCGATCAGGTGAGATGATGCTATCCAAGTCTTGGGAGAGGGATGTGGCAAAGGTACTTGAACCTCATAGAGAGTTTGAGGAGTGGGGGCCTTGTCACACAAACGTACGCGCGTACGTTTGTGTGACATATGCATTTTGAGTGCTGTTAGTTCGGAGGTTGGCCAAACATGGCCTGAATGGTACCATATCACTGCATGGTTTGTTTGGGTCAAGAAGATTGTACGTAACGAGATTAAAATTGAAATGCACTTCTTAAATATACAACTTCCTAAAAGCCAACCATACTCCACCATGCATGCTGTCCACATGATCTTTGGAAATTCATTCCTTGCATCTCAATCAAAAAACGGCTGTGAACTACATGTGTGCTCCAATTTGTCTTGAAAGATGAAGAATGTTCACAGACGTCAAAATGTCAGATTCAATGAGATTGCCGGGGACTTCTGAGACTTGTTAAAGGTACGAAACAAATGGTGATGAAGGAAAACCCAAAGCTACTTGATGCACAGGGGAAATTTGGCAGCATAGTTTCATGAAGACGAGGATTTCAGACAGATTGATTCTACCAACAGCCTGGTTTGCTGTGGTGTCTTGTATGTAGCAATGGGAAATGGAAGAAACAACATGTTGAGCTCCATAGGGGTTGGCCTCCATTGCTAGATCAAAGTTGAAACACAAGATATTCTTTGTTAAATCAGCCCTAGTCAGTACCCTCGTCACCAGATGAATTAATTCAAAAGCTTACTTTTTACCAATCAGTATTGGGCTGCACCACCGGCATGTGCTGAAGATCCTGCATCGGGTATTCCAATTGGAACAATAGGTCCTAAAACCAGTGGTCAAAGGTGGGTCAGAATAAGAACTGGAAAAGTGGTTGAGTGGCACACTGCATACCTCGCTCCAAGACGGTTTCTGCGGGCATTCCAGCAAGCCATCACATT